TTATACGTAAAATTCGATAGTTCAGAGTGAGGTACTGACATATCTATGAATTATGTGTGATCAGAAATTGAATCTGTTCTTTTTTTCAGTCCGATGCGGAATATGTATTTGGTAATACGGGAAGGAGACTTTAACGGAAGGTCCGTCGCGATGTATCTCCGCCATTTTCCGCCGTTTTGGGGGTTGGTCCAGAACGGATGCTGCGCAGCTGAGACCCGTACAGAATCTGCACAAAGGGAGAAGAACACTCTGATTGGAGCAACATCCCCTATACTAGGGTAACTGGATCCCTTTCGGTTTTCAACTCGCGGAAAGATGGCTTATTCGCCATTTTTTTTTGTTCTTTTCGCAACGCACGGACCAACACGAATGCTTTTCGACCCTGTTTCAAGCATCCTGTTAGAAATGTTTTCTTTCAAAAAAAAAAAAAAGTATCGATATCTAGTTAGGATGATAAAAGTACGAAAGTGTACTATACTCAGGTGACAACATTCGGGAAATCGTCGCCCGAGTCACCTGTACGTGCGTGAGTGTATGAGTGCGTTGTTTGAATCGACAGGCGACGAATAGATCGCGAAAGAATAAACGGCTGATGGTCCGCTAATTCGGTCAACAACCGCGGTCTATCGTCGCCTTGTGACCAGCAACTAGAGTGAGTGAGTGAGAGAGAAAGAGAGAGAGAGAGGGGGGGGGGAGAGTATATATTGTGGACCACAATTTGTGAAATTAGAAGAGAGAGATATTTGTTTTAGCGGCGGTGTCATTTGTTTTATGTTTTATCCTTATTAAAAATACATTTATATTTACTTTATCCGAATCTAAGACCATGGGCGTAAACACTGAGGGACCTGGACTGAAGAAAATGGCTTTTGCACTACTCTAGAAGAAAAAATTGAATTTTGCGCTCCTTCCCCCTGACTGATATGGCTACGCCCATGTCAAGCACCATTTATTTCGAATTTGCCCATCTCTGCTATGTACAGGGGTCAGACCCGCTGAGATCCAGGCGGCGACGACTGCGCAGGATTTCTCTCACGATGCGGGTGTCGTTGGCGTTGGCCAACCCCTGGCCGCGTCGAGGGTGCGCGGAGGGTGCGGCCTTCCCCCTCGTGATCAATACCAGTGCCGGCCTGGGCCTGCTCGCTCGCTCCTACGTGTGTTCTCTCTAGCCCACCCACGCGAAATCCTGCAGACCACGAATTTTTCGTCTTGTCGTCACCCTTATCGGCTTTTGTCGTCGCGACGGTGTCGTGACGACCTCGCCACCCCCATCCCCGTAGCCCTCTCCACGGTCCCGTCAATTCGCAAATCGCCTAAGCTCGCCTGGTTTCGTTCACCCTGTTATTCGTCGGTCATCCCCCTGGCGGGGGTTGCTTCGCGAAAGGTACCAGAACGATGGAGGAAGACTGTTCGACGTGTTGTACGTGTGCGTGTGTGGAACACTCCTCTCGTTCCTCTGCCTTTCACAAACCTGGAAAGATTATCGAAACCCCAGTGTTATGGTTTTAGAACAGAAACGGCATAACCAACAGAAATGATGGAAGGGGCCCGCAAGAATGTATACAGCTTCCAAGGAAAGGACACTTGGGTGTTAAACTTTCTATCTTGAAGTTCTATAAAGTCCTCCCAGAATGGATCCATGATTTCTGTGGATTCACGACGAGGAAAGACTGGTTTCACAGCCTGTACGAGATTCGAAAGCAACGGTACACCACCGCGCTATCTGCCTGCACCCCCCCCCTCCCCACTCCCTTCTTTAAGACGCTTCCTGAAAGCCGAGCCTCTAATTGCATAAATGATTCTCACGGGATGATCGTAATTACACGCTGGTTCATTCCTTGGCCACGATTCAGAGACGCGGACGGTAGCGTAAACGTAGATGCGTGAGAGTGCCACAGTGTACAGACGAAACTCGGCCGCGTGTTGCTTAAATCATTAATTAGCGCCGCACGCGCTATAGCCGCGCCGTTGTAAACTAGAATTTCGCACGGGCGCACCGTACGCCTCGTGTGTACCTATATATATGTATACCTACGCGATAATTGACCGTCGAATATAACTGCACAATAAACGCATAAAAGTATCGTTTTGTGTCTTGGTTATAGATAGATTATATAATTCTGGTCGATTAGTACGATTCAGACGCGATTGGTCCTAACGTCACTAGAAAAAAAGATTATTATAATGTAGCCTGAATTATAGTCGAGAATTAAAATACCCAAAAGTGTGGACCACACTGCATTGCGCGCGGTCGATAGGTAGACGAAACGTTCTTTTTTCCCTTCACTCTTCTCGGTACATTTATATTCAGTTTATTTCTCGGGTGTAGGAGTTACTCTTATTGTAAACAGGCTGACAGTGAAATATTCGAACGGACGACGTTGCCAAATAAACGGCGCGAAACTACTCGAAATCCCACGCCAAACGGTTCGGATGAAAGTGGAAAAAATATGTCGTGACGCCTGAAGCATACATGTATACTAGGCTGCCCAGTGTATTTTCGATGTGCCACCACGCGGGGATGCCGGGTCTTCAAATTTTCGAAATGTTTACTCTCCGCGTGCTTGACAGAGAGGGAGGGAGGCAGCCGAAAATTGCACAGAACGACGACAAAGTTGCTACACGCTGTTATTTACGACGTGACGAGTAACCACTTCCATCGGTGCTGTCGAACACGTGCGTTTATTGAATGTCCACCAGGTTACTCAGCCACGTTTGTTTTTTTTTTAGCAACCATGGGTTTCTCTTTTTATTGACTATGATTACAGTCCTCAATTTACATTAACGATATTCCCAAGGCATCCTGCGTGTTGACACTCGAATGCATTTCGCATCTCGTCTACGTACAAAATTCCGCCGCGGTTCTCTGTGTAGTTGCGTTTTCTCTCTGGCCAGTACATCATGTCTTTGAGTGAGATTACACTATCTATCGGCAACTCTTGTAAACAAGATACCGGAACGATAAAGGCGTTCACTTATCGGGACACTGACCGACTAAGTAGAGGAAAATTTGTTCATGTTCTCTCTTCAATACATGTATGTACATACTACACAGTTCATTTCACACATACGGGGTCTTTTATGTATGCTCCGGGGGTTCTAGGACCCCCCTTACCAAGAAACTACATAGTTCACGTCACACACACACGGGGTCTCTTCAGCATGCTTCGGGGACTCCGTGACCCCACATTTTCAGGCCACGTGATCAAAGGCGCCTCCACCGAGGCCTCCGTGCTGGGTCTATGGCGTCTCCACCGGGGCTCCGTGACCCCACGCTCTCACCGCGCAGGGTCTATGGTGCCTCTACCGGGGGCTCCGCGACACCACGCTCTCGCCCCACGTGATCAATGGCGCCTCCACAGGGGGCTCCGAGCAGTGTCCACGGTGCGTCCTCCGGGGGCTCCGTGACCCCACGCGATCAATGGCGCCTCCACAGGGGGCTCCGTGCAGGGTCCACGGTGCCTCCACCGGGGGCTCCGTGACCCCACGCGCTCCCCCACGTGATCCATGGTGCCACCACTGCAGGCTCCATGCAGGGCCTACGGTGCCTCCACCGGGGGTTCCGTGACCCCACGCGATCAATGGCGCCTCCACAGGAGGCTCCGTGCAGGGTCCACGTTGCCTTCCCCGGGGGCTCTGTGACCCCACGCGCTCCCCCACGTGATCCATGGGGGCTCCGTGCAGGGCCTACGGTGGCTCCACCGGGGGCTCCAGGACCCCACGCGCTCCCCCACGTGATCCATGGGGGCTACGTGCAGGGCCTACGGTGCCTCCACCGGGGGCTCCAGGACCCCACGCGTTCCCCTACGCGATCCATGGGGGCGCCCCGTGCAGGGCCTACGGTGCCTCCACCGGGGGCTCCAGGACCCCACGCGCTCCCCCACGCGATCCATGGGGGCCCCGTGCAGGGCCTACGGTGCCTCCACTGGGGGCTCCAGGACCCCACGCGATCCATGGGGGCCCCGTGCAGGGCCTACGGTGCCTCCACCGGGGGCTCCAGGACCCCACGCGCTCCCCCACGCGATCCATGGGGGCCCCGTGCAGGGCCTACGGTGCCTCCACCGAGGGCTCCAGGACCCCACGCGCTCCCCCACGCGATCCATGGTGCCACCACTGGGGGCTCCGTGCAGGGCCTGCGGTGCCTCCACCGGGGGCTCCGTGACCCCACGCGCTCCCCCACGTGATCAATGGCGCCTCCACAGGGGGCTCCGTGCTGGGTCCACGGTGCCTCCACCGGGGGTTCCGTGACCCCACGCGCTCCCCCACGTGATCCATGGGGGCTCCGTGCAGGGCCTACGGTGCCTCCACCGGGGGCTCCTGGACCCCACGCGCTCCACCACGTGATCCATGGTGCCACCACTGGGCGCTCCGTGCAGGGTCCACGGTGCCACCCAATGGGGGCTCCGTGACCCCACGCTCTCACCCCACGTGATCAATGGCGCCTCCACAGAGGGCTCCGTGACCTCACGTTCTCACTAGATATGATGTGAACTGCTACTTGTGAATTACTCGTGATTCGATCACGTTCGTTCTCAATCACGGTCATTTTTCAGAGTGATTCGTGATTTCTCGTGATCGTTTCTGATTGGTGGAGAAACCTAACAGTTCTTTACACGCGACACATAATCTGTATATTTTATATTTTATATTAACGACATCGAAACAAAAATTCGAGTTATATTGTATAAAGTGAAAGAATAATTAGAAACAATGAAGAATAATGAATAAATTAATGATTATAAATTATAATCTACATGTTACCTAGCAAATCATTCTTTTAGAATTTCTTGTTTTTTCTACTGATTTTTACAAACACAGTAATGTAATTCATCGTAAAATCATATTGAATACGTTTTTCTGTTTAAAGATTAATGACTTACGATTGCAGTGAGCAAATTCACTCAAGATAAAAAAATCGCAATCACGGTCGTGAATGAAGTTAAATCACGACCGTGATCGTGATTCTGCGATCACTGTGATAAATCACCGTTAGTGATTTTGCACGCCATCTCTACACTTTATAAATGTAATTCTTTTTAGGGTGTTTTACTTGAAACAGTGGCGCAACTGGACTTAAACGCAAAAATCGCGGGACGAGTATCTGTTGGTTGATTGAAATTTACGTATCCGTTGGGAAAAGTGTGCTTTGACGAAAGTATGCAAGCCTTTTTAAAAACAGGCAAATTGGGACCGGGTGAACCAAAAAAGCCTTCAACTTCTCGCGCAAAAAGAGAACGCAATACTCCTGCGCCACCATGGGTTGAGAAATAGTGAGCAATATTTTAGTATAGCCTTTATTATCAGCATATTTTTAACTTGGCACCGAATCATAAGGTTTGTGTACTTTTACAGCCGACCAAGAACCGTGGAAGATGTAGTTGAGCAGGGTGAGGTGGTCGAAGTATTGAAGCAATGTCTAATGGGTAGTGATTTTCCAAATCTCTTATTTTATGGACCTCCTGGAACTGGTAAAACCAGTACCATATTGGCAGCAGCCAGGCAATTGTTTGGTAGCCTTTACAAAGAGAGAATATTAGAATTAAATGCTTCTGATGAAAGAGGTATCCAAGTTGTCAGGGATAAGATTAAATCTTTTGCTCAGCTTACTGCTGGTGGTATGAGGGATGAGTATGTTTATTTTTACGTAACTTTTACTCAACTGTGAAAGTAATGTCTCTTTATCAATTATGTTATTAATCATATGAACAACATCCCCAATTATAATGTCGTTCATAAAGAGACATTGAATGCTAATATTAGTTTGTAAAAAGCCAATGATGTTTAGTAAAAGGTTTGAGATTCACGGTAAAGCTAAGCAGAAAGGTTGTTTGTAGAATATAGTTGTTATCAGGAGTTGTAATGAAGTTCTTTAATGACTCTTATTGCCAACTAAAAAACAAAGTGCTTTGGGCAGATTGTTCCAAAAGTACAATAAAGTTTTAAACTTTTGGATTTGCTTCAGGAGCAGACAAATGAAGTACATGTTATTCTACATCAATCTTATGTTGTGCTCGTGTGATTTCTATGATAAAGGCACAATCTGAGGCAAATAAAACAGCAGTTGTGATTAAGGTTGAAAAAACATTTATTGAAATGATTATTTGTTTTTTTTTCAGTGGAAAAAGGTGTCCATCTTTTAAAATTATTATCCTTGATGAAGCAGATAGTATGACCAGGCCAGCACAAGCTGCACTTCGTCGTACCATGGAGAAGGAATCACACAGTACCCGTTTCTGTTTGATTTGTAACTATGTCTCAAGGATTATAGAGCCACTGACTTCTCGTTGTACAAAGTTTAGATTTAAACCACTTGGAGAAGAGAAAATTGTTGAAAGACTAGAGTACATATGCAAGGAAGAGGACTTGAAGGCTGAAAAGCCAGTTCTGTTGAAGATTGTGGAAGCTTCAGGAGGAGATTTACGACGTGCCATAACATGTCTACAATCTATTACAAGGTTAAAGGGTAAAGGCATTGAAATCACTGTTAATGATGTTCTTGAAATTATTGGGGTAATTTCTACTTCCGTGTTTCTAAATTATATCTAAGTTATAGTGTTTGTATTTTAATGTAATAAAATTTAAAAAATTATAGATTGTACCTGATAAATGGTTGGAAGAATTGATGGAAGTTTGCAAGACAAAAGACTATAGCAAGGCTGAAGCATTTATTGATAATTTTATGCTAGAAGCATATGCCACATCTCAAGTGAGTACTTCAAGCTTATGTAGGGATTTAAATATCACAACAGTGTTTTGAACTCTAATTACGATTGCAGGTGATTGAGCAACTCAGTGAAAGAATGATATATTCTAATGAATTGACAGATAAACAGAAAGCTATGATAGCAGATAGACTTGGAGTAAGGATTTCTAATTACTGTCATGGTAGAAATATATGCATTATTATTCTCGTATTATTCATTCTGTTTTCTGTTATAGGAATGCAACTATAGGCTGTTAGATGGTGGAAGTGAATATATACAACTCATAAATCTTTGTTGTGGTATTATGAAAGCTTATGAATCAGTTTAGGTGTAAAGTTAGTCAGTATTCTATTTTGTTATATTTATCACCCTTTTGTATATTAATAAATATCTATTATAGAAATCATCACATATTGTTTATTGTAGTTTTCCGAAGTGTAGATAGCAGTTGTTAATTATTAGGTAGATATAACAACTACAATATGCAAACGCTGAATTCGGCAATTACATTCAACCAAACAGCCACTCGTGTAGGCAATCTTCTACAATATTGCCGAGTCGAGAGTATGTAACATTCTCCAATTATAAAAACAAGACTATCCCAATGCTTTGGAACATTAAATACATATCGACTAAATAATGTAATTCTAAATGTGTATAAGTTGGGTTCCCCCCTAGATACTTCGTTTTCCCTAGCATTCGTGTTTTACGTAATCTAGGAAAATATATATTCTATCGAAGTAAATTTTATACATTTAAAATGTTGCTTCGCGATAAATTTATTCGTTCTCAATGCAGTGTGCGTAAGCAAATTAGAATCTTTGATGAAAGAACTTAAGTAATAAATAAAGAGTCGAAATAAGGCAATACGTCCCAGAGAAAAATTGATTCTCCAGATCTCTTCCCCGTAGGAACTGCTAGGGACACCCGTCTAGTGACAAAGCCACTCCATTGAGAGGCATTGCCCGACACGATGTGCCTACCGTTTGAGAGCCGCTGGGATCGGCGTGTAGGGGCGTCGTTGCTGCGTGCAATGTGTATCGTGTAGGCGTTGGCGAGGAGGAGATAAGTACGGGGATGTGTCCGTAAAAAAAGCTGCGGTTTCTGCGTACTCTGCCGCACGTGCACGCTCGAAATCGTGTTCCGCGAACGACGGATTCCCCACGGGATCGCGGACGGTCTGCGTTTACGTGCTCAGTCGGGGCTGTTCCGCGTATGGGCCTAACGATCACGGGGGCTAGGAATAAAAAGTGCGGTCGGTGTTCCTTCTTCGTTTCTCGCGGAGGCCACGTATTGTTCGTGCGTGCGTGCGTGCGTGCGTACGTACGTATCTCGGCCGGCCTTGTCACGGGGACGTTGCTCGAGCCAGTAAGGGGGGAACTCTGGCCTCGACGGGGAGAGACACGGTGCACGGAAACGACGCCCGTACCAGGATGCTAGGACGTCTCCATCGTAGGGCGATTGAGACGGTCAGTGCTGCTCGTGCGTGTTAATTCCGAGCTCTGTTGAACGGAACGGTGCCGTATCCACGCTCTCCCGTGAAACCTCGCTACACGGATACTCCGAACTCCGTGGACTGGGACAGGGAGGAGAGACCCGACGGCGCGCGCGTGTCCGTCTCTTCTGTGTTGCAGGAGATGTTCGGAATCTCGAGAAGAGATCCTGGTGCGGGAGGATTTGCTTATCAACGACTACGATCAAACGTATCGTTGCACGTCCGATTCTCGAGCGTATGAGACACTTGCTCGGCTCGTGCTCCGTGTTTGTCCTGAGTGAGAAGAGATCCCGTACAGTGTTTACTAGACACGCGGAAACTTTATTGTCGCCACGCCAGTCTTGTTGTACGCCGAGAGGATTTATCGAACGCGTCACCTACTCCGCGTGAGTCAGTTTCCTATCGTACGCGAGGAATTTGTCGACTGGCGAGAAAGGATACGGGGACCCGAGCTGAGATTCCCAGTGGCTCTCTTCCTTCCTATTGTTTGCGTCGGAGAGACGACCGCTTGCTCGATGATAGTGACGCGGCGGTTGACAGCGCGACTGTTCTATCAGCGTGTGTTTTTTAGGAGAGGATCACCACGTCGATTCTAGAGTCCGTGAACGGTGGGCAGGGTGAATGTTACCGCGAGAAGCATTCATCGTTCGGGACACATCTTATAAGAAATTCGAGGATCCATCGCCGGCTACTGCGTCGCGCGTCAACGCTTCTTGGAATGTGACGGGGGACTCCCGGCGTGAGAAATATCGTAGAAAAGGTAAGCGATTTGAATGTGGCGACGAGTCGACGCTATCGACTCCGCGATACGATACGAACTGTCACTGGCACCGTCCTCCGGATTAACAGTACTTGTTTTCTAACCTGTAAACATGGTTAATACGATATCTGTAGCGATGGTAGTAGTAGTAGTAGTAGTAGGAGCGATAGTATTGGGAAGCGTAAATACGAAAGCATCTACAAAGTCTACAATCTACCAAATTTCACGTCAAGACTAACAGTTATATTTTAGATATAAGAAAGAAGTACAACCATTTGCTCCATGGCAATTCGAAGAATCATCTGGTTAAATTCTTTTGGATTCCGTCCCACTCGGGAATCTGGCGCAATGAGGTGGTTGATGGCATGGTTGATGGCGTGGTTGATTGCAAATGCAATCTTAACAATGATACTCTTAACCATGTTTTGTGACAATACAATTTATATACTGTTCGAATCGAGGTAGAATTAACATCGACGTAGTATCGATTGATTCACGGAAACGAGTTGTCATTGATTGAGTAACTTCGAACTCTGACATGTGCAGAACCTACTGTTAATTACCAGTTGAAAAATAGTATTACCTTCGAGATGTATTATCTGTTACATCATCATGCAGTCATCGATAAATGACAGTGGTGTATTGGAGTTACAGAGGATCGAGAGGAACATCGATACAATCGATGGACAGGTGGCAGATAGGGAATACCAAGAATCTGCTGACCGGGAGCGTTGTTCACTATTGTTTTCTAGGTTTGACTGGCGCAGTTTCAGCTCGATGGTTCGTCATTCGAAATAAAATTTTGGGTGGCAACCGTCGGGTGTGCACTTGTTACCGTTATACAATGGCATTTGTTGCGCAGTCGGTGGCTTTGTTTTGATTTTGGAGCGTACACGATACTCGACGCGACCGCGCGCGTTCTTCGCACGCTTGCCAACTTGATTCAAAGCATTCATCATACGAGTTTTTGAAATAACTAACATTCTAAATAACATCGGTAACTCACAGATTCCATAAAAACGCACGGTTTAGCGCATCGGAAACAATACGAAACTCTCGTGTTGTATATTTTATCAAAGAATAGATCCGAAGCTCTTCGAATATCGAATGACTATCGATTGGACAAAAGGGCGCGTAAATATCACTGTTTCGAAGTCTGTTTCGATCGTCTCGAACGATGAACGATAAACATGTTTTTCAGGTATTCATTTTCGGCGTATGTAGATGCAAAACTCTACGACGGTACGAAAACTCATAACGAGAGCTTATAAAACGAGGTACACCGCGTGAGTTGCTCCTTCCTGTGCGAGGTTGCACTCAGGATGCATCTCGCCACGGCCCGACACTCCCGTCGCAGTTCGTATCCGGCGAGATAAGGAGCAACTTATGCCATTCTGGACTATACATGTATACATATATGTATGCATGCGTGCGCCTGTGTTTGTGTGCCAGACTCCGCGGGTACTTTTCGTTGGAGATAAAGTTAACAAATAACAGACGCGGTTAAGTCTACGCGACTGGGGGGAAAGAATAATGAGAAGTAAAAACGGCGGGAACAAGTACATGCTTTCGTAACAGAAAAGAGAAGAGTTACCATTATACCGTAGCAGAAATAAACGATAAATATTCCGAAAGAGATCTAATCGTTAGAAATAAAACGACACATTGACAATAATTTCGAAATACGATTGGCATGGCAATACTTATGGGAACACACGTAATCAGAGGTTGTCTTTGTCTATGGATCACGGATTCGTCGGTACCACAGTGGCAAACGAGGATAATCTATCAGCTACCGTGGACATTGAGAAACCACAAGCTTGCTTACGCGAGATCCGTCTCTATTTTCCTAAGCAATCACGCGACGAGAAATCAACTTCGAACGCTTCGGCTAGCATTCTTTTTTGCGCGCAACGCGATTACAACTGGTAACAAACAATTCCACCGGCACAGATGACCGAATTAATGGGACAGCAGCAGAACTAGTGAACAGTATGGATACTGCTGGAGCATTGCTTTCTTCTTACAGACACCTCTCGATTATCGTCCGGCTTGTTCTACACGATTATTGTCCAGGCGTTATCCCCACCACCTCGTGGGTGTACCTATGTAAATAATTCGCGGTTCTTGGCGCGCCAGCGGACACACCAGACGGGCAGGAAGAACAGAAAAAAATGGAGAAAAGTATCCGGCGATCGTTTTACGGGATAAAGTCCATTTAATTCGCAATCGAATGTGGTCGCGGTTCAACAATGCTTTGAATCGACATACATGTATACGCTCGGCGTGTTCCCTTTGGCTGTTGGCGGCGGGCGGCGGCTCTCAATAGATCCGACCAGCAGCCTGTTATATGCAGCGCTTAGAGCTGACCGAAACGGTGACGGCTCGTGATTGTTCACCGCGGAAATGACGTTGTCAGTGTCACGTGGTGTCCCCCGATACCCCAATTCTCCGTTGGTCGGTTATTAAATCGATGACTTATCGGCGTTCGACCCGCCGCGGCGAGATATCGTCTCTCTCATTTACGCTTTTCGAGCGGTGAAGAAAAATTGTTTGGTCACCCGATGGCCTGGAGCGTAATGGAGAGATGAACACCACAGTCTCCCCCTTCCCCCATCTAACTCGAAAAAGAGTCCGTGCAAAATGGGGGCGCACGTTCGAGGGGTTAATCGCGACGGGCTGCGCGGCTCTGGTCGATTTTGATCTCGACCTAAGTTCAATCGAGGCATTGTCGAGGCTCTCCTTCGGTCACGCTTGATTCATGGGATCGATACTGTCTATTGATACTCCAAGCTTCCGGGAGAGGGGTTGGGGGGTGAGGTGGGGTGTAGGTCTCCTTTTCGAGTGGCATTCGGACAATTCACCGTTGCTGCGGGCTTTATCGGCCGCTTTAATGACTCACACCGATGCTTAACCGCTTACATTCTGACCTATTGGCCGGTAGATGTTGCCTTTTAATCGATCGGTTCAATTAGAAAACCGGGAGCAACATACGCGGTGTTTCAGACGGATATGAGGGATCTATCCTACTTTACCGATAAACCATTATGCTGACTGATGTATGTTCGTTATACTTACGGCGTGTCTCTAAGTACTACGATAAAGTATCGTGAAACTGAACCGCGACTCAACTCGGATTCTTCTGTTGTCATTTGTAAAACGAATCGAGTTGTATTCGTAACGGAATAAACTGTTCGATTCGTCGAAGAGGATTTGGAAGAAGAAAGTCTTCGACGGGGAAGGGTAACGGAACATAAAATCTATGGTTCGATGGTCGAGCTTCGGATGACAATTTTCTGAAGGAATCGATAAGTCCCGTCACGAAGAATTTTATCTGTATCATCGTCGTTCCGAGGATTACTCAACGGAAAAAGAAAAGTCGGAGCTGGGTGTATTAGCCGATGAGTAAGAGGTTCCCAGCGTTCCGATTGATAAGTGAAAGATAATTGCCGCGGTGTGTATCGATCCAATAATATCGCTGGGATCACGAATACGGAGTAACCGAAAACACGTAGTAAAAATCGGATTGATTCGCCCGTGAAATAACGATCGTAACATGTTTGGCCATGGAAATTCTAATGACGCAGCGGTTCGTCGACACTGATCGTCATCGAATTCCTTTCCTATTACCATTCCCCGGTTTTATAAACGCGCCGCTGGAAAACCGTCCCTGATCCTCAATCCTGTAGAATAAAAAGTTGTGAAATTTGATTGTAGCTACAAAGATTCTTCTTTTGAAACTTTCCTTGCAACGGGGATTCGAGAAAAACGATACATTAATATTTCCATACGTATATCGTAAACATTCGTTCGTAAGATTAACAGTGGCCTTCCGAAAAATCGAGATCGTTATGGAAAGTTTCGGAGTTCCGTTCGAAATTCGGGTCGATCTATTTCGATTTTCGAGGCCTCTTGAACGCTCACGATAGTCGTTTCTTGTTTCTCCGCGAGCATGGAGAATTAATCGTTCGCCGATTAAATCTTGATCGAGCGCGCAGACGGACGGCGCGCGGTGTAGTAGCTATATACGCGCTCGCGCGCCTCCTGTTTGTCCGCTAGTAATGACCGAGTGTATAATTTACGAAAAGAACGACGGAAGAAGCTCGACCAGGCACGACGGCCATTCAGCTGAATAAAACCGTCAGTGGTCCCACGGGGACAGGGAGTCGGAAGCGAATTCCATAAATTCTTTAAGAGTCCCTCCTTCGGATAGAATGGGACACGATTATCGTCTGCTGTGTCCATCGGGGACAATGAGGCTCGTTATTGTTTAAAATCTTGACGGGGTCGTCTGTATCCGTATTTTATATACCGGCCGACGATGCGTCCCCCTAAACAACCAGTTCAGACGACACGGTTTATCGACGATACGATTTGGTATTTTTGTCGAATCAATAATACAGTAAATCATCGATGAATGTTCGATGGATCCTCGACACTGAACATATTTCATAAATTCATGGCTAAACAAATATTGACTTCAGAATTCAGCTGGAGATCTCTCCTTGTCAGTGGCCGAGAGGAGTCTTCGAACACTCATCGGATGATTTACCGTGAAGCAGCATTCATACGATTCCGTATTTTCACCGACAATCCAAGTCTCTTGCCTGTATGCTTAATTCCTTTGTTCGTGTGAATGCTGCTTTCGGCTCCAACGTTTCGCGTTTAATCACCTTCCAGTCGAGAACAATAGTATAATGATTTTACAAATACAGTATTTCCTCCTTACAAGCACATCTTGTCGATCTTCTTGTAACGAGCGCGAGTGAAGGCTATTCTCTGTAAGCTTGTAGTCGCTCGCTAAGCAACGTGATTGTAGAGAAAGAGAATATTTTATTTCTTGATTCTGCTGTGGGGTAATAGCAGCTATCAATCTCGATCCTCAACTTGGATTTAAACTCGATTCGCGGTTAAATCCAACCCGGTGTACTCTGTATAGTATTGGAAGATTTCCGTACAGCCGTAAATTGTGTGTCGGTAGGACGATTAATATCGAGGAG